TCCCGTCCACTGGTGGACGGGGAATTCGATTACACTGCCAAACCCAGCAGGTGGTATTTCCCAGGCTTGCCCAATTTTAGGAACCGCCTGCCATGCAGTCTAGTTTATGGCCAGATCGTCTTGAATTTCATTGCTTCTATTGTGTGTTACGCCATATTGACTATTGTTTTGTCAATTAGACTAGCTGTCACGCCATCCAGATTAGACATAATTGTACCTAAATTGAGTAGCCCAAGTTAACACCTGAGTAGGCGTCTTGTTCCGATTTACAAAAGTGTTTGAGATTTCAAAATGAATATAATAAAGTGGAAATTGAATTTTGTGTCGTGCAATTTTGGTCTGAAATCAAACTTGCGATTTCAAATCCAATTCTCGCTTCGCGGTCGCGCGATTTTCTAATTATATACGCGTTTGATTTCAGCCCGAGCACGAGGTCTTTACAGAGAAGGCGAGGTTTGTACAAGAAGACCGAGGTCCGATATCTCTCTGTAAAGACCAAGCAAGCGAGGTTAATAAAAAGTTTATTATATGTCATTCATAGGCATTTATACTTGAAACAAACAAGAAATGCATGATTTGAAATGCATATTAGTTGCGTGGTACACATTTGATCGAAGAAAACAAAAAAATACCAATGTATTCCTAATTCCTTCCTTTCCATGCACTCAAAACCATTCGCAGATATCTTATTAATTAATTAACAATTATTCGCCGAATGCGTGGTGATTATCGGTGAATAAAAACCGAGACGAAGTCGAGGTTTTTATTCACGATAATTACCGAGCCTGAGGTGAATAATTGTTTTAGTATAATTTCATAGGTGATTATTTGGAAAAAAATAAGAAAATACACATTTCTTCGTCATTTAATTGACAAAAAGGCTTCGGCCGCCATTTTGAAAATCGCTTAGGTGATTATCGCGTAATAATCACCTCAACGGCAACCAATCAGCGTGGAGAATTTTCAATAATCACCTATGTAATTATACTAATTAAATAATAATATACATAAAATTGGTTGATTTCAGTGCATTTGATCCCAAACAGCAGTGCAAAAATCTGTAACAAACAGATCTGATTGGTGGAAAAACATTGTGATGATAAAATCAACCAATCAGTTTAAACCAGTTTAAAGAAGTAACAGTCACAGATTGCTTCAAAACAAAACAAACATGGCGCCTCGCTACATAAAGTAAAAGTTGACTTCGCGTGGAAAATTTGGCTTTTATCTTTAATAGCCCGCGTGCAGGCCCAACGGAAGAATAACGCGGGCTATTTTTAAATGGAAAAGCCTTTACCTTAAGTAGGCTCCCTACAGTTTCCATTATATATATCAGTGTTTTAAACTATAAAAGCTATTTCAATCTAAAAAAACTAAAAAAGTAATTTTAACCCATAATCGCTACTCTTCATGTTGCCATGACAACATGGCGTCACCATCTATATATGGCCTATATCAACGGCAAAAAAGCCGTCTTAGCGGACAAATAACCACGGTGACCTACCTTTTTATTGCAGAAAATACATTGTTATAAAGTTTTGAATCTTTTTTGAAAGTTATTTGAAAAGCGCCAGTGTAGTTTTCGAGAAACTGAATTTCAGCCTTTCCGAAGGCTAGAATGCAATCTTAAAGGTTGGAATTCAGGTTCTCGAAAACTACACTAGGTTTTTTTTAGACGGCCGGCCCAAACCGGAAAATGTGCAACAAAATTTGTTTGATGGCATTTTCTGTTACAAGCTGCCAACTGACATTTTCGTAGAGTATATGCATTAACGAATAAGACTAGACATGTTGGCAACTCTAATTTTGGCTTTATAGATGAAAATTTGAGAATTTGAAAATTTTGTCTATAAAAAGTACTATGATGAGAAAAATGCAAAATTACAAGTTCACATTTAACAAAAATAAATTATACCATTAGAAAGTTCGCAAAAAAAGTATATATAAGACATTTAAACGAGTATTATGATTTTTGTAGCCAATTTTGTGCTTTCAACACTGGAAAATGAAAAAAAAACGCCAATTGATGCCGATAGTTACTATTTTGCCAACTTTAAGTTCCTTTAATTCAAAACTGGCTTGAAAATTCGCACTACTCGCTTAAATGTCTTATATATACTTTTCTGCGATCTTTCTAATGGTATACATTATTTTTGTGAAAAATGAACTTGAAATATTGTATTTATAGTCAACATAGTACTTTATTAGGCAAAATTTTAAAATTCTGAAATTTTCAACTATAAAGCCAAAATCAGAGGTGCCAACATATATAGTCTTGTTCACCAATGTGTAAGCTATAAGAAAATACCAGTTGACAGCTTGTAACAAAAAATGCCATCAGAGTGTACATTTCAGAATGTTGGCCGGTCGTCTATTTAGTCAAATAGCTTTTAGTTTAAAACACTGACATACATTGGAAACTGTAGGGAGCCGCCTTAAACAAGACTAACAAAACTTTGAGTGGAATTTTCAAGCTGTTTAATAGCGATGTATAATGTGATATAATTTATAACAAAGCCAGGAAAACTTTGCTAGTGGAATGTTCGCTATGAACGTAAGTTAAAACTACAATTGTCTCGAACATTTTTATGTAAATTATTAATAAGTAATAGCATGGTTTCTCGTGAAATTTGGATAAACATGCACTCGTGAGTTTTTCAAAGACCTAACTCACTCGTGCTTGTTATATCCAAATTGCACTCGAAACCATGCTGTTACCTATACTAACAAACGAAATTATAATCTTCAAATTTTTTATTAGTTTTGCTGTTTTGTTTTAAAATGCATGCGTCTGTTTTTACGTAATGGACCGTTGAAAGTGCTTCTTAGCCAACCACAGTCCGCCATTTCACCGGAAGTGATGCTTGCCATATAGTAACACTATATATCATACTTGTGTACATTATTGATCCGAACCGGCAGAAATTAACGTTGCATGTGCTGCATTTCTAGGGAAATTGATGAAGTTAACAAAGTGATTAAAATCGTTTTGGAACGTGGTAGCACAGATCTGGCTGGGTACCTAAGAAAACATCCAGATAAAATAACCGTGGATTTTATAAAAATGTGTTGGAGGAAAATGTTAGATGCTGTTGATGTGATACACAAAGCAGGGATTATTCATACTGATTTAAAGCCTGCAAACTTCCTGCTGGTGGAATGGAATCTCAAATTAATTGATTTTGGAATAGCCAATGCAGTCCAGGTATGTTTCCGCCAATAATATTGTCCAGGGTTACAACTATTGGTAAATGGTGAAAGCACTCCAAAAGACACTTAATACAATATACACTAGTATACACTAGGGTAAAACACGTATGTAAAAATCAAGCCACAATCAGGAAAACTTTATCATATATAATCCCTGCAGATTCATGCGGGTATATGACAATCTCGAAATTAGAGAACATACACTCGAAAAGCTACTTTGCTCATTTATTGTGAATAAATGTCAAATTGGTTTTCGAAAAAACTCGTGCAGCAGATCATTTACTAGTTTTAAGTCAAAACGTAAACCAATTTTTACTTGTTTCATCGACTTTAGAAAAGCCTATGATAGTGCATGTATGGAGAGAAGGCCTTTTCTCCAAACTTGTGCAATACGGTTTTTGTTTATAGAAATTCAAGTAGTAATAATAGTGGTTTAATTCTCATATAATCTTCAGTTAATTATTTGATAAAGTTGTATAATAAAGGAAGTACTCCATTTTTAAGTCACGATTGGAGTAAAACAAAAATGTAATTTGAATCCTACTTTATTCAACATGTTTACACTTGTATAAAATGATATTAAGAGGCAATTTTTTTCAATGTCACGTATTTGCAATGAGAAGTATTCAAAACCTAAAATCTTTTTGGCGTTCCTCTCAAAATTACTTTGTTAATTTTTAAATGCATCTGCCGGTTGAGAAACAATAGTTAAATAAAATAATAGTTAAAAATTGTCAATTAAAATACAATTATCAATGATGCTATAAAATTGACGCCGTATATTTACAGCCATATATATATATATATATATATATATATATATAAGCAAAACTTACTGAACTTCAGACATCATTTTCTCTTTGGCGTATCATCTAAAAGCACTGATTATTTTACAGATAAAGCACTAAACATACTTTTTAAGTTTGTTTGCCGATTGAGAAACGTGTCGAAAAATAAAAATTTTGAATTTGGTCATAACCTCAAGTGGTATATTACGCATTAGTTTTGAGCGCGTAGACTATTTGGTCTTATCTGAATCCAAGTATAATTTACAAAATTGCACAAGAAACCGAGATTGAACATTAGTTTTAAAAAATCCAAAATGTTATTGACTGTTTGGAACACCAATCTAAAGACATGCACATTTATCATCAAAATTGATTATTTGAAAATAACGTTTTAGAACAAATAGACGAAAATTGTTACCATTACTATTAGTTTTCATTTTTCTGGTAATAACACAAAAAATACTGATGGAAAAGCATTATGTGCTTATTTATAGTTCGTTCAAAAGTTTTTCAATTTTTTGAATTTATTAAATATTTATACAGGAACATCTGATTCAGCATAGCTATAGTTTAAACAAAGTCCTACTCCTGTCTACAATATTATACTACAAATATATGAGTACAATATGTATATATCTAGGAGAAACGTTTGAGAGTGTCCGTAAATTGTTCATATACAGTAGGAAATGAAGATTTAAAATGACGTTTTAATCTGGTCTTAAATGCTGAAATTCGTTGATATTCCGAACATTTAGGGAACACATTGAACGTACGTAGAAAATGGGCCAATTTAATTGTAAAACACTTCTAAAACATTTCTCCTCAATGCTAGTTCCAGTTTACTTTGGGCCCCATACTTGGTAAAATTGATTCTTTCGATATGTTTAAAACACATCTAGAAAAATTTAGAAATAGCAAATCACGTAGAAAAACTTAATTCATTTAAAATTCTGAAAAAGACTCTAGCTATAAGGTGTTCACTCAAAATCTACAATTCTGGCTGTTTGTGCTGAACTGGGAACTGTTATCATTAATTATACAAATAACTACATTCATAACAAAAGATTGGTTTCGCATCAAAAGTTCATCATTCACAGATACTCTTGCATAATACACTCTGACACAGGCTACCTGGCAAGTAAACGCCCTATATGCTGGGTTAGGGTAAATTTTTTAAACTGGTTAAAACATGAGCGGCCGATCTTTATCTGATATATAACGTGCTTAAAAAACGACCCATCTTATGACTTCATTGGCGAAGTAATTTTAAAAATAAACATTGTCTAAGCCGAGAAAATCAAAGCTGAAGTTTATGTAAATCAGGACAAATCTTTATCCGATTTACAAACATTGATTAAACATTCATTTCTTTTGAATTTTCGTCATGAATTCATTTTATTAATGAGTGTTTGAAGTACTATTTAAAACATGAGCAGCAGTGAGTGTTTTATCAGATATAAAGATACGAGGCGAAGCCGAGTATCTTCAGGTCTGTAAAAACACTTCTGCTCATTTTAAAAAATACGTTGTGTAAGTCGAGAAAATCAAAGTTAAAGTTTATGTAAATCAAGGGAAATCTCTATCTATCAAGAATAATTGAACGCCTTCAGACACAGCATTAACAGTTCTGAATGATAATGTCAAATAGAATAAGGTAGTTGTCTACTCCAAATCATTGATCAATGTAAAGTTAATGGATAATAATGAAATATTTTGATTTAGAGTGATGTAACAAGTTTCTATCGTGATACCACTGTTGGAACATTAAGTTATATGTCACCTGAAGCATTGAAAGATGTCTCACAATCATATGACCAAAACGAACAATGTAAACCGACGATGAAGGTAAGGTTTATGTGTTATAAATTTACCTTTAAACCCTTGCAACTTTGCTGCCAATTTCAATAGGCTTTTGCAGACTTTTCGTGCCAAACAAAACATCCGCAAGTGTTTGAAATAATCCAGGATCTCTACAGCATTGCACTACGCCTTACGCGAATACATCCGTCTCGTGGTCATATGACCACACACTCGGAGTACAATTTTCACGATATGACGGAGCATATACCAAAGCCCATGGGTCCCGTGGCTGTGGCTTTGGCTGATAACACTTGCCCTGATCATGGTCTATATAAAGTAGGGCGCTTGCAACAGTACAGGGCAGTGCAATGCCAGTCATCTGATTGATCGACATGTGATGAAGCAGGGCCTGGGGCGAGCGTGTTTTTACGCAAAAATCAAAGCAAAAAAGATTTTCATTTTTTGACAACTTTTTCGATTATTTCTCATTTTTTTACTTGTGGAAAAAATAGGCCGCCGAGAGGATTCGGGGAGTTGTAACATTTTTCGAACCTTCATATATTTTCTTCTTTTGTGAAATTTGCCTAATTCTCAAGTAGCATTGTACTTAATTTATTGCATATTAACAGGCGCTAATGTTGCTAGGATTAGTTTTCTCAGTTAGGGGGCTCCCTACAGTTGATACTAGAAGTGAAAACACGATTGTAAAATGGAATCACGATAATTCTAAAATCTTGCTATTACAAAATGTTCCGGTCCTGTCTTGCTTGGGGGCCACTTTTTTATCTGGGGGCCCTGGCCAGAGTCTCTCCCTCGCCATCTTGGCGGCCCTGGAAAGAAACGTATTCATGTTTAAGAATAAAATATTGCTTTTTCTGTGGAAACATTGCATTTTTCGTGTTGTATCAACCGTGGTAGTAATTTAATGTGGAACTTTGTCTTTGCTCTTATCCGATCTCCATGGCGGCGAGGATAATAACAGTCAGTACCTTAGAATGTGGGTATGTTTACTCGCAGAAGAATCAGTCCCAAAAGGTTTTATTTAGATGGAATTTTAGAAAAACACTTATCAGCTATCTCTTGCCAAAAACGTATGATGTTGGCAAAGTTTTAACCAAAGTTTTGCATGTTTACAACAATTAGATACTTGGTAAATTGTGTCACATACGCGCTTAATTTAGGCTAACAACATGGTTCAGTGAGTTGTCATTTTTCTGAGCCCCAATAATAATACCGCTACCACATACATGCAATTCAATGAATCTTACTTTAAGATCTAACATACAAGCGTTTAAAACTGTTGAATATATGGGATGTTTCAGCCCGATTTTAGCTCTTAAGGTAATTCCGCAGTTTTGCATTGCGCACTTTTATTGCGCACATCTTATAACTTATAATTTCATCCATTACACGTACCGTTTAAAAAAATATCATTTTATGACAATTTTATGTGTCTGTAGTATATTTATTTACTTGTATTTCACGTTTTAATGCCACAATTCCCTAAAAAGATCGGTGACCCTCGTTTTTAACTGATAATTTATTTCTTTAATGCATTTTACATTTCATATCCGAAATTAAAAGAAAAATCATTTCTGGATCTTGAAAAAAAATGCTTTATTAATGCATGTTCTCAAAGAAAGATATGTAAAGAAATGTGGAAAAGACATTTGTGGATCAGAATTGTACACGTTAGTAGTTTCATTTTGCTCAAAACACAATATTTTTTCAAAAATAATTACAAGATAGGTTTACTAAAGCAAAATCCGCCCTAAAAACGTCAATATAAATATCGTGCTGTTGTGAGTTTGCTGTTACTCGTAATGAGCGTCAAGATGGCGCCATATTGGGGTAAAGGTGGTATATTGTGATTGTCATATCTTCTTAACGAGTTCGGTGACCCCGACTTTTTTTGTGTGATTTTACTTTAAGTATATCATAAACTCCATGCCTGGGAAGTTTCAGCACATTCTCATTTCGGGAACAATTACTGCGGAATTACCTTAACACGCGCATACACAAAAATTATCTTATACAGTACGGGGAAATTCTCCCTGTTCAACAAAAATACTATGAAGAAATTGTGATAAAAATACTGCGCACATAGCTTGGTTATGATGGGGGATCGAAGCTGCTGGGAGAGGACGTTTCACAGACTCTAGTTTAAAAATGTTCTGGGGGAGCATACCTGTATACTCCCATGTGGTTGTATTAATTTTTTGCTTCCACATGTAGATTGGTCGGCCAAGTGATGTTTGGTCGTTGGGTTGTATACTGTTTTTCATGGCATATGGGAAGACGCCATTTCAGCACATAAAAAACAACTTTCAGAAGTGGAATTGTATCATAGATCCTAGTTATGAAATTAAATTTCCTTATATCGAAAACCAAGATCTTCTTGACTCAATGAAGGTATAGTATTGTAGGTGGAGCACAAATAGCTTTCTTGTGATTGTTAAATACCTCCAGTGAAGCATCATCATCTATTCTTGACGTGCTATGGTTTCTTCAGAGTCCATTCGACCCAGTCTTTCGCGTGATATAGGTATTGTCGAGATCTTGATCTTGTGTCTGTCAGGATTTCGCATTTCCGGGGGAATAATTAAAGCGTCAGGTACGTTTGTCAAATGAGGGGGTGTCGAACAAGACTTTGTATTTCCTTCCATCTGCTCAAGATTTAAGAAGCTTTTTATGATGGATTTTATGGATGAAATTTTTAACCTCTGACGATTCCTTTATAATTTTTCGGAGCTCAGTTTCAAAGAATATAGTTTGTTTCCCGACTGTATTAAAGTTAGTTCAATAAAGTCTGTCAAGAAATAGTAAATTTTGAAAGAACAGTTAATCGCTTGCAATGCCGAAAATTTGAATATCCTGTAAAATTGTGTGTTGAACTTCGAATAACATACAGAACTTGCAAAGGAGAAATCCTCACCTTTAATCTGGTTAGTTTGTACATTTTCAAGAAACGTTGTTTTGCAAGTTAAACTCGACAGACGAACTGTTTTATAACAAACGTAATATACTGTATTTGCAGGTTCCGTGAGTCCGAGATTGGACGCACCGAGGGTGGCTGGAAGTTTTCGCTCGGTGGGTTTGGGAAACGTCCAGCCACCCGAGGTGCTTCCAATCCCGGACTCACCGAACCTGCAAGTATGTTTGGTTTTTATCACATGCCATTTCGATTAAAAGTACTGAAGAATTTTATAGTATATATTTATTAATTTCTTGTTTGGATAATGAACATTTTAGCCGCCAACATACTACGCAAATAAACAAACTTAGGCTTAAATTGAAGCTAAACAAATTCTCTACAATATTCCCTTATTCTTGGAAAGAGAAAATGCACACATTCTGCGAAAACATTGCCAAGATTTATATAAACCTGCCCGTGCCGAACAAATTTCGGCGGCCATCTTTCTTCTCTTCCACTTGAATACAGAATATTCCATTTTCATCAAACAAATAAAAAAATAATTATAAAACAATTAAAAACAGTTCATTTATTTTTATTTAAATCTTCGTCTGAAATTTGTTCAAATCACTTCATAATGGCCGCCGCCGAAACATTGATTTCGAACTCCCCTCCTAAACATACGTCAGCAGGTAGGTTCGAGATTGAACACACCTCCTCGTAATGAGATAATGAGATGAGCGGTGAGGTGTACTAAAGTTAATCTGTGATTTTATTATTTTATTCAGGGATGTCTAAGGAGAAATCCCAGTGAACGATATACCATTGCACAATTGAAATGTCATCCATTTCTTACAGGAAGAACATCTGGTAAGTCACACCACGATTTTGTGTCTTTTTTAAAGTGCACCTAACCTCAATTTTTTATCATCTCATTCTTAAGAACTTCTGAAATTATATAATAACTTATTTTGAGATATTTCAGTTTGTTTGGTATGCGAATATCCGGAATTTACGTTACAAATACATAATGACCTAAAGTAAAAACTTGTATATCGTATTCACTATCGAGTTTAATTCATTAAATTACATACCCATGTAAAACATCAATTAGCCTTTTTATTTCATGATATTTAACTGTATACCTTATACGTCTTTAATCAGTCATCTTAAATAATTACCGTACTGCTTTAAATCTAGTCTATGATCATGATAATCCACGGACATGGAAATCTATCTGCCTAAAGTGCAACAAGGTTCGAAGTACGGCTAGTCCAATCTCTTGTTGTTTTTAGCGAGTTTGGGATTTGGCTTTCGCCGCCACTACCGCTACCTCTCCCTGACCTGGTGTGCATGTAATTGGTTAGCTCGATAAACTATAATACTGTTGGTGGCGGTAGTGGCGGTGGAAGTTGAATCTTGTTCTTGCTATGTATTGCACTGCACTGCATTGCGTTGCACTGCATTGCATAATATCATAGGCAGCCCAGCAAAATGTGTAGTGCATTAAACGCTTAGAAATACGTATAAAGTTCGTCTCAATTTGCTATCAAGCGATTTATTTGTGTAGCTCATTATATATGCAGATTCCGATGTTTACGTCATTGTATATTCATCCAGTATATTATACTGTAACATCTGAATCTGCATGTATAATGAGCTACACAAATAAATCATAGCAAATTGAGACGAATTTTATACGTATTTTTAAGTGTTTAAGAGGACATTTTTTACAAAATCGCGTATTTTTTGCGCAAAGCGCCCAAAACTTAGCGACCAGGCCTTCCCTAAAATCCTGCCCCGCCATCTTGGTTTTAAAAATTTCCCAAAATTTGCGAAGACAAATAACAGAATTTTACTGGATTTTTGGCTGTGTCACAAGGCAAAACATTGCCAAATATAAAGAAAGATAACATGGTAAGTGTAATATCGTATTTAGTAGCTGTTATTTAAATTATTATTATGTAAATATGCACATGTATCGGACTCAGGAGTGACCATTTCATTCAAAGAGGTCATCTATATTTACTGACTAAAAGTGTCTGCTTTCGTCTTTTAAATGATGGCCGGCCTGTTCACAACTCGTTTACAATATAGGTACATGCAAAATTTTAAAGGAAGAATTTGAGTATTTGTAAATAATCCATTTTAATACTTCGAAGTTCGAATCAGTTTTTTTGCCTCTGGTACTGTTGCACATTTCCATAATATTACTGTAAAAACATTAATTTTAAACTTCACAATGTTTCGTACACATGCAGCTGTTCTGCTGTTGCAGTGCTTCAGGTATACCATGCTATAAATCACTACAAGTTTCCTTTCTGATATAAAGAATCGTGATGTACATCTGGTATATGATTGTATACAGTATACTAAAGTATAAATTGGAAACCAAAATTTCATATGGGATGTACAAGTAAGTAACAATTGCAACTGGAATTATTATAGTTGAAACAACCTACTTTCCCACATGCATGTAACCCGATGTGGTATGAGGGTTGCTAAACCAGGGCTGGTCATAAAGCAGGGCCAGGATGCATCATCACTATGGACCCCAGATACTGAACCTCCTCCCCCAATATCCCCAAGTAAATCTATCCCACTACTACACAAAAGAATACTTCTTTCCCTCTGAGTTAACAATGAAAGTATATTTTTTACAGATCTCTGCGATATTA